GAAAAAGTTGAATTCAAGAAAACTTGAAATTTAGAAAAAGTTGAATTCAAGAAAACTTGAAATTTAGAAACATGAATTCAAGAAAACTTGAAATTTAGAAAAAGTTGAATTCAAGAAAAATTCAAATCTAGAAAAACTTGAATTCAAGAAAACTTGAAATTTAGAAACATGAATTCAAGAAAACACAAAAAGTAGAAACGTGAATTCACGTAATTATGAAAACATGAAAACATGAAATCAGAAAAACATGAATTGAATTCAAGTTGAAACCCGAAACACGGAGTGCAGCAGGCGCCCAGGTAAGAAGACTTTTGAAAGATTATGATATTTCTGTATTTTTTAAATTAAAAATAATAATTAAAAATAATAAAATAAATGATTTCAGGATATTAAAAAGATATTTTTCTCGAAGTTTCCCTCTGCATGCAGCGTGAGAGGTGGTTGGCTGCCCGCCCATACAACGCCATCAGATCAAGAGGATTCGACGGGATAAATAAATATAAAATTGTATAAATTGAATAAAAATAAATAAATTAAAACAAATATAATTTAAAATTTAAAAATTCAAGAGTTTTTAGTGGAGGATCGTGTTCCTCTTTTTCCCTTTTCTTCGGCACCGCATTCACATACTTGCAAAATCGAGCGCAAAGAAACTCAGCGCCAGTGGATATCTTGCGGCCTTCATTTTCCTTCTGTGAGCTGTACTATGTATTTTTATTTCAATAAATATTTTGTTTTAATATTTTATTTTAATATTTTATTTTAATATTTTATTCTAATATTTTGTCTAATTGCGCGGCTCAAACACAACGAGCAACAACAACCAGCTGAAACACCATCGACAGAATACAGAAAAGAACTGCACGTAAGACATTTGCTAAATGCTTCCCAATACACTTTTTAATTTTAAACAAAAAGAGAAAGCTGTGTTTCTTCTCTCTCTGTGGTTGCCTTCATATAGGCGCAGAAACCACCACACACAGCAACCCCAAACAACCCCCCTACCCCCCGAAA